CCTTGTGGTTTCTGCAAGCAGTCAGTGTGGCACAGAGCTGGGCTTCGTAAAAGGTGTGGTGTAAAATTGTAACCGAATCACTCGCAATCCCTTCCTTTCAGCACTACGTTGTCTTTCATGTTTTCCCAGTTCTTTTTGTATCTCTACTCCTGGCCTCAACTCCTTCATTCCAGTCACCTCATTTCTGCTGAGCTGAACAGCAAAGCACAGCAGTTGCAACCTGTGCTAAAGGTACAAAATGTATTGCGCAGAAAACTACACACGGTTAAAGAATACTTCGTTGTGTTCATTTTTACTTAAAATTTCTGCTGTTTATTGCTCAGCTGACATTTGTCATATGTGCAGTGTCACCGTTGGAAGCCCCCTGAAACGATGGTGTGATTTCCAAACTGAGTGCCAGGCGCACTGAACAGCCCCACACGGCCCTGGGGTCCCCGCCTGTCGGTCGCTGTGTGGCTGATGTGGGCTTTGCCCATCACCGCTGCTTTCCCACTGGCTTCCATTCCCACTTCCTCCCACCCCGTGTCCCCATCCCAGCCACCAGAGGCCCCTGTTGGGTTGTTCATTCCAATCCCGGGAAGCATTCAGGACTCCGGTGGCCTCGCCAGCTCGGGCAGCACTCCTTGCCCAGCAGCTCTGTGAGTAGGTAGATGCTAGATGTAAGGTTTGCTATTAAAATTGCTTTTGTTCAAGAGTCTTTAATGAGAAAAGAGCAGATACACCTGAACAAAGCAGCAGGTCTTGATTACAAAGATGTAGATTCAATTTAAAGCTAATTTTTCGCTGAAAAAAACCACATGTTCAACCAGCCAAAGATAGAGCATAGTTTGTAAGGCAAAGCTTGGCTGCCTGTTCCCAGCAGCAGCCAGGATCCCTGGATTCTATTGGATTATATATTGGATGTTCTTCATGATTATTAAATAAGTGAATGGAGCATCACGCTGATGTTCTTCCAATGTTCCATCCTTCTCAGCAGTCCCTGCTCCAGACGTTTCCAGGCACGCTTCCATCGGGCCCTCGTGTTGGCTTTATTTTGCTTGGCTCTGTGCACAGGTCCGTACATCAGCAAAATAACTGGGCAGTGTCCTTGTTTGAGCCCTGAGAAATGGGTCAGCAGCATATAGAGGCAGCCATCCGCTTTTTTGGACTTCTTTGCCAGATCTGGGCTTCTGTGCTCCTGGAGTGTCCAGAGAAGCACTGTGCAGAGCTGATGGAGGTCTGGTGCTGCCATGGGGCAGAGGCTGGGAAGCGGCGCTGGGACGTGGAGCAGCACGGAACAGAATGCGACGCGATGTAAAGTGGCCAACACGACTGCTGTGTAATTGCTTTGAATCCAATTAATGCTGCCTGAGTAGATGTTAAGAATTATAAAGAGGAATAAAGAGTCTGAGCTTGTCACTGAAACTACGATAATATTCCTTCAAAGAAGGCATATTTGCAAACATTATTAATTACCTGGGGAACAGTTCAGTGTTTAAACTGAATTAAGGGGAAATGCTTTTCTGTGATTTCGGATTTGACTGAGAGATTACAGTACCCTCCAATAATGGAGCCTTTCTTCATTATAGACCTGCCAGCCAAATGCAGAGATTGTCTGCACGGAGTCCCCCACCCCCAAAACCGATTTCCCAGAAAGGATATTAGCAATCAATTACCTGGGGCCAAAAGAGCTTTCAGAAATGTTTAGCACAGGCTCCTGTAATCAGAAAAACACAGGAGTGTGTAACAAAAATCTGGCTGTCTCAGTTTGGATGAACATTTGGCTTTAGGATGAGTTAGAACCTTTTTGGCTTTGATTATTTTTGGTGTTGCTTTGTGGGGCTCTGCAAAGCCACTGCAAGAAGGGAACACTGAGCTGGGAGAGGCAGCAGAGACGTGCACAGAGCAGTCCAGTGACCACAGTGCCCTCCTCAGCCACGGCGCTCACTGGTTCATTGCAGTCGGTTGCATTGGAGTTGGTCTAGATGACCTTTAAGGGTCCCTTCCAGCTCCAGTGGTGCTACGATTCCAGGAAATAGTGCAGTTTTTTTCTGCTTGGAGGGGGCAAACACCTCCAGCTTTGCAGGGATCTCCGCACCTGAAGGGCTTTAGAGCTCTAATTGCTCCAATCAGAGCCCAGCTGTGGGACTCCTTTTATAAGCCCTGACCTTGATTAGCACCCAGCTCTCAGGGGAAGGCTTGGCAGATGGAATGTCCATTGCTTTGGAGTGTGGGCTTTGTGTCTCTGTGTGAGGCTGACATGAAGGGCTTTTTCTTAAAGAAACGTGGTGTTAGTTCTCATGCGAACTGCATTTGAAAATACTCTAAGAAGGTATTTGCCAGTTTGTTCAGCTGTGAGCTGGTGATGTGGCAGAAAAGGATTTCAAACTTAGCATGAAAATAACATCTTCCTTTGGCTGTGGAGTTGCTGCTGTCACCAGAAGGTAAGTTTTATTTTAATTCTAAAGTGGTAAAAAAGGCAGTCAGTTGGGTAGTGTTTGTAGCTGTGTGTGAGGAGCCTGCAATAATGTTCCCTGAATTGCTAAGCAACTGTGGCCCATTTGCTCGCATGGAACAAATTGAAACTTTGATTTATCTATTTGTTTTGCAGCTAATGCTGGGGCTTCATTACTCCCTTCCCTTGGGGCATACTCCCACATGCTCAGACTGGAAATTAACTCTTCTTACCAAAAAACATGTATGGCTTTCTTCTTCATTTTGAAGGAATATCCAGAGGCTTAATGTCATGCTTGCTAGCTGTGTTTGTACGTGGCTGTGGGCCGTGGAAGAAAACATGGAGTCTGCCTACCTTGGGCTGCTAAGTGACGGTATTGCAGGTCTGATCCAGGATGTCATTTGAGCTTCATGTGCCATCTATAGGTCTGTGATGTATGCTGCTTGTAGCTGTACCAAAGCCAGTTACTGGGAGATTCGCCGATAGTAGCAGGCAGAAAGGTGAATTCAGCAGCAGTACAGGCAAATTTTAAGTGTTTCTCAAATGCAAGTGAGAAAACGAAGTGGTATCCCCCAAAGCGAGCAAACAGCGGGTGAGTAGGGGAATGCAAGTATTAAAGGACAGCAGAAATCTGCTTAAGAAGAGCTAGATCTTGTGCGCAGTTGCCACCTATGTTCAAATTTCTGTCTCATAGAGGTAGAACACAGTGGTCTTACTCTTGCAAAACTGCATAAATACTTGGTCACAGCAGCCCTGGTGAATGGAGCTCTTGCTTCCCAGCGCTGTGCTCACCAGACGTATCTAAACCCAGATTAGTGAAACAGGGTTACTTTTAGGTGTAAGTAAGTGTGGTCATGGCACAACTCTTTTGCTTCTTTAGTGAGTCTGTGGTTATCCTGCAGCTTGCTGGAGGAGTGAAGCCCTGTGACTTGAACTGTGATTTGCTTGGGAACTTCCAAGCATCCCTGGGTGTAATCAGTGTTTAAACTCTGGTGAGTTGAGATGCATGGTCTCTATTGTTAGCGTTCATAGGCATCCCCTAACCCAGACAATATTGTCTATTTAAACTTTCTTAAACTGGAAATACAATGCATCTAAAATTAGCTGATCTGTGTTGAAAAGAAAAAGTTATAGTAATGCAATATAGTGCTTAATTTGAGTGAATATTTTGTTATGAGCTTGGACGTGTTCTCATACGGAGTGTAGGTAAGGTTTGAACATGAGATTTTGGGTTTTTTTTGGCTTAAGAAATATCCAATACCAAAATGCAGGAGATCTCCTAATTCCAGGATGCTCCTCTTCTCCTACACCCCCCTCCTATATCCAAATGATCTCAATGAGGTGATCTGTTAGCCCACTGCTGGTGATATGAACTTGTTGGGTCATTTTCTGCCCGGAGTCTGGGCACTTCTCCATTGGTGGCTGATGTTTTCCATAGGCAGATGGGAATCAGATTGTAGCAAATCTACAGGCAAACAGATTTTGTTTGAACTGAGGCTATGGGTTGTGGCAGCTGTGGGATCCTCCTCTCATAGGGAATGAGGCTGGGGCTCTCTCACAGCTGCTTCAAATGCCATCTTATTTTTAGTTGTCATCTGGACTTGGATCTTAGCTCCAGAAATACCCACAGCAAAATAGCTTCAGGTCTTCTTTTTGCCTTTTCCCTTAGAAACACAATGAACTTTTCTGCATCTGTTCTGCCAATCCCTCGCAGTGCTGCTCTCTGCTCCCCCAGCTCACGATGCAAAACAAAACTGCTGTGTTTCTGAGGTCCTGTGCCATGCACAAGCTGCAGTCCCTCAGCTAGCTGATCTTGGACTGCACTTTTCTGTGCCTTCCAGGTAGCTTTGCTCTTCAAAATTTCTCCATTAGGCTTAAAGGAAATGCAAATAGGAAATCTGAATAGAAGGAGCAAAGAAGATATATCAGGTTTGAGGTTTCTGGCATAATAAATTAGGTAATAGAGGCAATTGATTTGATTGTCTAGAACTTCCATCGTGTCAACAAACAAAAAGAAATATTTGTTCATTAAGCCAAAGCTGTGTACATGATTATTTTTTCTTTAAAATTCATGTAAGTGCTGCTCATCCTGCAGTTTCCTTTTGCACTAACTGTGCAATCGAGCTTCTAGGCTGTGCTTCAAATAGCCATCCCTCACACGCAAAATGCATTATTAACATGCACTTAAGCAAAACCCAGCAAATGGCTCCTCAGAGCTGGCTGCCTCTGCTCGTATCAAAGGCAGCTAGCTGCTAAAATAGAGGAATTAAATATGAGATTATTTAAGGCTCAGTTAACTGTCTCCTGTTCGCTGTACCTCAATGTAAAAATGATATAGGAAGGCAAAAGTGCCACGTTTCTTGGCTCATCTAAGAGCAACGCGTAGTTCTTCTGCGAAGCAGGTGTGATGTGATCTGCAGAACATTTTATCCAGTGACTGATTGGTGTCTGGTATGTCGTTTGGACGTGCCAGAGTGTGGGAGGACGTGATGTTGCAGTGTGGGACTGGGGCATCCCATGTGTGGAGTTCTTAACTGAGGCATCCAGCAACACTTGCAAGGCACAGAAAAACTGGTCATCGTTTTTCTGTATTCAATCAAACCATATAGATAATTATCACTTGGGTTTATTTAAGTAAAAACAGAGCTGCTCTCGTAGCTTTACCAACAGTATGTTGTCAGAAAGGACGTTCTAGCAAAAACGTTACCATCTTAGGAGGACGCCCCTTCTGCCACATTCTGTTGGCAATCCTGAAGAACCTCCTTATAGTCAAAACAAAGCTTCAGTAGTGTCTGAGTATGGCTTTGTATCTTATGGGAAAGGTGAGCTTGCTTCTTGCCTGTCACATTACTTTAAAGAAACATCAGTTATTCCATAATGGGAATTAATAACCCATATTCTGTTTGATGTTATGTCCTGTTAGTACATGAGTATTACATGCGCTGCCTATCCCAGGGCAGCTCTTATGAGTTGATAAATGGTGACATACTTCTGTTTGCTTTCCTTTCCCATGAGGAGGTCTCAGTGCTGGTGGAGATGCTCTTTGTGCTTTGGTCACAGCATCCAGGATCACGTCTGCCCCAGAGGTGCTTCTCAGAGCCACCCAGTGGAACACAGACCTTCCTGTGCAGCTGGCAGCTGTGTGCTCCTTCCCTTCTCAGAAAAAAAAAACCAAAACACACACCATGAGCAGAAAGTTGGACTGGTCTTCCATCACATTGAGTCTGTTATCCATTGATTCCAGCTGCGAAACCAGGGCAAGGAACATACATTGATGCTGTACTCTTTCTAAATCACAATCAAGCTTAAATTCTTTTTATTCTTCACTGTAAACCTGCCCTACAGTGGGTTAGTGGATCAGAGCAGATTTGCTGTGTATTATTTATAGGTTATTTCCTTTTCGTTCTTGCTGCTTGGCTGGATGCTGCTAAAGAGGACTCCATGTTCCAACAGTCTTGTTTTGCTGTAACTTTTAAACTATTTTTGTCCACAGGAATCCCATCTCCCTAGTTCCTTTCTCAGCACACTGAGTACTGCTGAAATGCTTTCAGGGTGTGCGATGCTGAGAGCTAACCGTGATGAAGAACACCAGGCTGTTTTGTTAGTGTGTGAGCCCAGCAGTGCTGCAGCCCCAGCTCTGCTCATGCAAAATGAGCAGCCACCCAGCACAGACATCATCCTGCTCTTCTCCCAGGGCCAGCATGCTTCAGAGGACATACTGTAACAAAAAGGCTGTTTTCCTCTGCCAAGAGGATGGCCTGAGTACTGCTACAAAGCACTGCTGCCCTTTGAGCCAGGTGACCATTGGGACACCAGAAACATTTGTGGCAGAAGCAAACGGACAGTTTTGGCTACAAAGGAGTTTGAATTCTGCAGGTTCCAGCATCCAAACCAAGCTGTCCTCTCAGCAGAGCATAGCAGGCATCCTCAGGATGTCCAAGGAGCTGAGGATTTTTCCTAATTTAAAACCCCTATCAGGTCAGGAGACTCCATGTAGCCAGGTGTGACAGGTAGGATAGGGCTGCATCAGTTATGGACCCCTATTTCTTTTGGTAGCGGAGGCAGCGCACAGTTGGCCTGCAGAAAGTCATTGTGAGAGGCCTGTGGATGGATACTGAGCAAAAATTAACACATCAGCCCTGCTAATGCTGCTTTTGCACTCCACGTGGCTGATGTCTGGGGTGCTGCAGGTAGGCTGGTTTTGAGACAAGGGTTCTCTTCTTGAGGAGACAATTCTGAGTGATGCTGTCTGAAGTCAGAGCGGCTGAGGTCAGCTGCTTCTGGGGCAGCCGTTGTGCTGTTCCCACTGCCTCAGAGCTGGGTGGGAAATGGTCGCCCTGCGCTGGTGCTTGAGTGCTGTGCTGGGCTCTGTGCCCCTCAGGGCTTCTGCTGTGCCATAGAGGGGTTGGATTCTGATCTCCTTCTGCCAGGTCTGACACCTGTGTGCAGTTCTCCTGAAACAGAACCAAAAAGCAGCTGCAGTGCTCCTCCCTCACACCATCCCTCCATAGCAGACTGGGCAGATGACTCCCCCAGCACTGCAAAAATCACATTTTTCTCAAGATAAGTATTTGAAATATTTTGGCAAGCTGGCTGTCACCGGTACTCTTACCTTTTAAGCCAAAGTGTTGCTGCCTCCTGTGCTATGGTTGGGGTGGTTTGTGGTCTCGGAGTTCTTGTGGTGATGCCTCTTGTAGGGCTGTGTGAATGCAGACTGGGACCATTTGCAGTTCTCAGGTGCAGGTTCAGGCTGCCTGTTCTGCCGAGCAGCAGTTGGAGGATAAAGGCTTTCAGATCTGATGGCTTTTGGTTATCAGACAGCAAGGTAATAGCTAACAGTGCAAAGCCTAAATCTGGCCTATGAAAATAAATGAGTTCTTTCTAAAGTGCCTCAGTGCTGAGACGCATCTAAATCAGATTGTTTGGCGTGGGGTGGTTCTCTGCCACTGGGCTGGGAGCTCCTCTTAAACATTAACTCTGTGCGATGCCTGAGCTGAATACCCTTCAGAGCTATTTAAGATGTTCTCTGTTCCATTGTGGTGATATGTTTCTAAATTGTACATTAAACTTAGCAGGGCGAGTAATGCATCACAGCTTCTCCATGTCAGGCTTAATATTACGTATTCAGCTGCAGCTTCATGTTTATGGGGAGGAGGCAAATGCTGTCCCTCCTCCTCATTTACCCCTGGGCTGAGGGAAGCAGCCCTGGGTTCCCCCCAGGCTGCTGAAGCACTCTGTGCTCCAACACGTGTTCAGCTCTGTCTCGTCTTCACCACGAGCTCATTTGCCATAGAGGAAACGGTATAACTTTGGGTCTGAGAGTGGAGTGCTGCCTCTGATGAAGGCAACGCTGCTTTGTAAGACCAAGGCACACCATGCTTGGATGTCTGTGAAAGAGTTTTCCAGGTGAAGGATACCTAGAAAATGGTGTTTTCCATCAAAACCACCTTTCTTTTCTGTGGATTTTGGGTGCTTTGCTGATTCTGTGTGCTAGTAAATCAGCCAAACCATCCAAAGAACCTCAGATGCCTCCCCAAAAGGCAGCACGCAGGCAGGATGTTCAAAGCGATTCATCAGCGTTGACTTGTAGGTAACGAGGGACCAGTCGGATGGCTGCTGTGATTTGAGGTGCTCCAGGAAAAACAGGTAATTTGCTGCTCTTCCTTGCCAATAGGGCTGAAGACTGATAGTATTTGGTTAAGTGCAGCTTTAAAATTGAAAACCAAGCAATTTTATTTCAGTGGCTTTTCAGCATGTTGTGCAGCAAGAGACAGCTATAAAGAAGTGCATCTGTTTCACATGCTGCGTGTAACGTGGAGGCACTTTTTGGTGAAATTACCAGGTTTTGTTGTAATTCTGTTCTCGTTTCTTCCCTCAGATGAGCAGCACTGTGTCTGTAGGTGCTGGTGATTGAGTCTCTTTCTAGAATTGCTGTAGTTCTTCTGAAATGTTGATGTTATGCAGGGAAGACAAAAAATCTTGGTTTGCTTTTCTCTCTCGCCATCTCTTTGGTTACATTTCCTTTAAGTAATTGGCTCCCAGGGAAGCAGTGAGAATATCCATTGATGCTGCCACTGCTTTTATCTCCATTGGTCTTAATGCACTGCCCCACTTGATCTCCCTGTTTCTTTGTCCAATCCCAGCTCTTAACATGCAGATGGTCTGCACCACTGGTGCTTTTTTCCAGCTGTCCTTCTACAGTGTTCCATCTTGTTTTGTTCTTACATATACACAAGTAATTCGATGCATTCAGCAGGTTGCAGCTCTACTCCTGAGTCCTCCTTCTGCCATTTTTTCTCTGCCTTCATTACAGCTATCAGTAAGCAGGTGTGACAGTCAGTGTTGCTCTTTCAATACACGCAGTTGCTCACATGTTTTTAGCACCTGAGCATTTTATTCTGAGCAGCAGTCAGCTTTTTCATCCTTTCACCTGCTTATGTTTATACTTCTGTAGCAAAATGCTGCATGTTTTCAGCAAATTTAATCAGTGTAATTATGTGTGATTTCCAGTGTCAGGTTCAGCTGAAGCACCCATTTAGGGCTGTGATTAGCCCTACCAGGATCAGCAAGGATGGAGACCCTACCTGTGCCTAGAACTTTGAAATACACCATTAAAACTATTCATAAATTGAATATTTCCTCCGAACCACCACCTCCAGCCAAACTGAACTGAAAATTGAATAGGAACTAATTGGCAGTGCACCTTGTTTGTTATAGATTGCCTCTTTGCTGTTGTTGGCAGAGGCTGCCATTATTAAGGTGGCAGGAGGGCACTGAGCTGGAAGTGGGTATTTAGGAATGAGATCTCTGAACCTTTACTTGGCTTTAGCAAATCATTTCAGCCATGCAGCTTTTCAGAGCGTTTTAAGGACGTTTAGCTCCAAGCAATTAATACACAATTTGAGCTCTTTAGAAAGTGTGGTCATAGAGAAACAAAGTTCCTGCCTTGTGTTTTAAAAAAAAAAAAAAAAAAAAAAAAAAAAGTTCAGATCAATTAAAACAATTTGCTTTGTTGTTAATGATTTCAGACTGTTGTAATTTATAGGTAAATAAGTGACTTCAAAAGCTCATTTACTCAGTGAGTGTACAGAGGAAATGTTAACAAGCTCTTGGATAGATTAAGTCTGGAGTTTGGTAACAGACTGCAAAGCATTTAGAGTGGGCTCACAGCACAGACTGAAGGATTCCAACTTTCAGTGGGTAATTAAAGCTACTCATCAGGTTTTCAGCATTGAGAGAAATGCAGGTAATGAGAAAAGTCACCTGTGGAATTTAACAGTTTTGTTAAGGTCTCACCCTATGGACAAGTCTGATGCAACTTTGGTTTGCCTGCATGGTAAAAGAGGCTGTCACATGCCAGGGACAGCTAAATCTGTCAAGCTCCACACCGTTTTCCTTTATTAGTTTTATTGGTTTTATTGCCTGCCTTGTGCTCTGAGGGATGATGGTTGTTCAGTGTCAAGAACCTGGAAAATCATTCAAGCTGACAATGCTTTCTAGATTTCATTTTTCCTTGTGTCTCTATCTTAAAAGGAAAAAAAAAAAAAAGATTGAGAACTTACCTTCAAATTCTTGGGTCTGCTTTTGTTGCCACCCAAATATCACAAAATTACAATGGTGTGCGCCTGTAATCCTTATAATCCTGGTCGGTGCGATGAATCCCTGCCATGTGAGAAGCTGTGCTTTGCTTTTCAGTGAGCATTGCTGATATCACCTTGATGAGATAAGTCCTCCCCACTTGTCTAGCCAAAGGGCTGCTGGTGAGGATTGCAGGGGCTGGCAGCAGATGGTGTGTGCAAGTCGGGGGGAAGGAAAAGCAGTAAATGTGGAAATGCACGGAGCTCACAGTCGGGGTAGCAGAGGGCATTTCTGGTCCTGGGATTTCAAAGAATCTTCTCCATAAGCTTTTCATTCCTCAGAGTTACCACTTTCTTAGGTACTGCTTTGGATGCATGAATGCCTAAGTTGAAAAAAATCCCTTTGATCCGTGCTCACTTTCCCCAGCATTTACAAACTTAAAAGCACTTCAGTTAAACTTTAATTATTCCCATGTCTGGCACTGGATGTTCTGACTACTGCTTCTTTTTTGGGATGTCTCGGAAGATACTGCTCTGTGTGTGTGTGTAGCTGAGACCAGCAGCAGCTAGGTGAGATATTCATGCCTTGCCATGTGAATGGTCTGTGTCTGTTAGTAAAGCTTAGAGGAAAGCCATGGGGGGCTGAGAAGCGGAGACCCACATCCCAGCCCTGCACACTGCTCCCCATCCCCAGCACCTGGCCAGCACGAAGCTGGTGACACTGGTGTGCCACAGCCTCCAATGCTCCATATCTGATGAATGTGCTCTCACTGCTTAAAAATCTAATTGGTCGCAGCTTCGACATCTGTCATCCATTCAACCTGAGCCCAAGGGCTAAACAAAGCTTGCCTTCTTCTGTTTAAATAACGCGGCTTTTGAGGTTATCGGTGTCCTGTCATCTGCTAGAAAGTCACCAGGCTGCTCCCATGCAGTGGATTTGAGACTGATGTATTACACCGAAGGTGACTTACTCTGCTGTAGTCGGGTTGTAGCACCCCTTCTGCTCATTGCAAATAATAACAACAGTATCTTTGGCAGCCAAGTTTCTTGCTCTACCTTGGGAGTTTGAGGCAGGGCAGGGCTGGATATCCAGCGTACCATTCACTTCTCACGGTGTCTGACAGCCCTCTCCATCTGGGAAAGATCAGATTGCAGGCTAAAAGGAGTTGGGGAAGTGAATCTGTGAGTGCAGTGCTGTGAGGTGTGGGCTGGAGCTGCTTGTGGGTCGCAGAGCCATAGAATTGTACTCCTGGAAGGGAGCACAGGGACACGGTAGCTTTCTGAAAATGTTAATGTTCCTTAGGATACACTTTGTATTAATATTCTGTGTCACCTGTATTCTGTGATTAGGCTTCTGTGATAAAGCAGTGTTCTAGATCTTCTAATGAAAGAAATGCGCTGAGGACCAAAACTTCCTTATCCTCGCAGTTCTCGAACCTCCCTGTGGCCCAGGAGGCGCAGCTCTCTGCGGAGCTGAGCGTTTGGCTGCTGGAAGCCTTTGCTGAGGGCTGCGTTCCTGCAGGCACAGCTTGTCCTGCTCGCACCCCTGGGAGTTCAGCACCTGTGCTGTGATCAGCAGAGGGCCCAAACCATTGCTAGGTGCCTGTTGGTGGTGAGTTCAGCAGCTGAAGCCCAAAAGCTTCCCTGGAGCATCAGGGAGCCCCTCACACTGAGAAGCTCCAGCACTTGGTGCATGGAGCAGCTTTCAGAGTGGTGCTGGGTAACTTGGTATTCCCAACTACTCACCAAGTGTAAGGGAAGAATCTAGAACAAACCGTCTGCTGGATTATTTATCTTTTTCCTTTGAAAGTAACTTCAGTGACTTTTTGTATCGCTTGGAGCAGGACTCTCCTTGTTTAATTACAGTAGTATATGCTTTCCAGTGCTCTGGGGCTTACTCCCCACCCTTGATGAAACTGGCAGATGTTTCAGGCCCACAGACAGAACCCATGGCTGATCTTGCTGCTGAGTGCTTTAGCATTACATGATCGTGAGTGTCCCCTGCTTGGCAAGCACAGCTGTCAGTGGAGCACATGTGGGAACTGGAAGCCTGTGCTGGGAATTCCACAGTGCATTCCTGTAGCCTAGGATGCTACTCTTAGATAATTCTTCGTTTGCACTCTAACACGGAGTAGAGAAACAAAATCTGATCAGAAAGTACTAGAGATCTTCTTAAAGGAAGCCCCAAAGGCCAAGAGCCAATGCGATTATAAAGGACTCAAAGTCCTTGAAAAGGTACGATGAGGAGATAACTGCTCACCTTAACAGGTCAGAGCAGCATAACAAAGCTTTGATGAGGTTCGCGTTTCCTTTTAAGATTTCAAGGCATCCACTTGGGAGTCTTAAAAATATGTACAGGAAGCCCAGAGAGCTAGATTCAGTCTAACAGCCTACAGCAGGAGCTCTTAGATGCTAATCTCTGTTTGTTAATCTCTTCAGTCTGGGGAAATGCATGACTTCTGAGTGATACTGAAGAAGAAGGAAGGGTATCTAACAGTTTTTCTCTTGCAATTCAGAAGAAATTCAAGTCTGATGCTTCTTTGCCCTAGGATTCAATGTTTCCAATCTAAATGCTCCATCAGTTCCCTGCTGGTTGCTCTGAGTCCTTTTAGGACATCATGCCTTACAAGTAAAGGCCAGCAATTGGAACGACTTCCACCTTGAGGAAGGTGACAGCACCTCTTTGGCATTGCAGTTTGGCACATCGCTGCCACCCGTCCTGGTCTTGCTCTCTGGTGACATCTCCAATCTGGGTAGCACATCTTTGGTTCAACTCTTTATTTATTTACCTGAACCTTCGATGCAAAGTAAAGTTAGATTCTAAAATGAAAAATGTGTACCACAAAGGAGAACTTTGGACTCCTTGACACTGGGCGTTACTTCTGTCTAGAAAGATTACAAAGGCACAACAGAACTTTCAGTAAATGAACTCTGTTATATAGCAGTGCCATAAGGGTTGCACCACAGGAACAAAAATATCGCAGGACAATCAAAGCAAACATTATGAAAGCACTCTCAACATTACTGATGCTCTTCCCCTGGGAATTGTATTACCAGTCACTGATATCAAAGGTAACAAATTTAAAGAAGCTATGAATGACAGAGCCCTCAGAGCCTGACCAAGTATGAAAGTAAAAAGGACTCGTTGGCTACTATGTACCATGCAGGCAGTGTGGAGCATTAAATGCATTTATCTGCCATTGCTCCAGGCAGGCATTGAGATAATGCATCCTCCTCTGATAGGGGTGCATGACCAGAGTTGTGTGGGCAGGGTGTCCGTGGCACCCTGTGAAATGTGGAGCTGCTTGCTTTCTGCCATCCAACCCTCACACGAACCCTTGGGCAAGTCCTTCATCCTACCTCTGCTCCTATGCACTGAGACTCTTGTGCTGCTGCTGCAGAACATATACAGCTTTGGAGAGGCAATTGGCTTCCAAATGCTTTTGAAGCATTTGCATGCATACAAAAATAGCTTTTAGCTCAGTGATGCTTTAGGAACGGCGCTGGGGGACAGCATTTCTCTGGAGGGAAAGCTTTATTGTGAGCTGGGTGCTCCTCCTGAGGTTTTCTCTTTTCGTATTTTGAAATGTCAGCTTCCTATTTCTTGGTCTGCCTACAACTGTACCATTTAAAATGTGTATATATATCTTCAGGTACACATTGAACTGCTCTTAATTCATAGAAATGCATTAATATTTAAAAGTTAATAGAGTTATTGAGGCAAATGAGACCATCAGAGAAAAAACTGCACCATCTGCAAAACAGAATTGGAAGCAGTGCATTCTGTTGTTAAAAACTTGTTTTAAAAAGTGCTCAGTGAATGTCAGTGGAGCTTTGAAATGAAGATTTTTTTGTTTCAGAACAGCTATGATTGCATCTTTGGATTGGGTTAGCTGGGAAAGGGTAGAAGCCACTGGAGGCAGGCGTCATAGTGCTGGAATTTCTGGAAGGTGAGGATGGAAACATTTTGAGTTTAGTTCTGTTTAAACCTGTTTGAAATGTGGTGACTGAATTCACATGCAAAGATTGCTCCAGGAGCAGAGGGAGGAGGAGGAGATTCTGTGCTTCTGGATGATGAAAATAAAGACCTTAGAAATGCCAGTGCAGGGATCTCTGTCTCGTTCCTCATCTAATAGGAGAAATATGGTCTGAACACAGAAGTGAATCTTCAGCAGGGTAAAAGTCTAAAAAGAAGTTGGCACTGCTAAATAACATTTGCTGTCTGAATACTGTTTTTATACACTGGGCTGACAGGCCTTGGTTGGTGCCGATGTTGGGAAGCTGCTTCTGCTGCTGCAGAGCAGAACTGAGCTGCGTCTCCCAGTTCCTGGCAGCAGAAGGTGAGCAGGGGAGCCCTGCCCCGAGTGTGGGGAATCCCTGCGAGTTGGCTTTGCTTCCGAGGATCTGCTGTGCCCTGACTGCAGCCACAGCCTGGGATTGAGGTATTTCTCATAGGATCATAGAATGTCTTAGGTTGGAGGGGGCCTTGAAGATCTCGGCAGGGTTCTGCTGTCCCCATTGGCTGCCCCTGGCAGTTACAGCTCTGGATGGCTAATACCTGCATGATAAAATGAAGTGCCTTTTGTTTTCTGTTGCTTTGCACTTCTTTGTGCTTCGTAATAGCACAGGAGATGTTCTTCTGAAAGGGTCTAGACAACTTAGGAATTACTTCTGCTGGGAACTTTGGAGGCTGTGGAATTACAGCACTCCATTTTCCTACATTCAAAGTGCATATTAAAGAAATGTGATCCCCAGGAGAACTCAAAGGCAGCTCTTTGTGTATAAAATACTTTAAAATATATCACAGTTGATGATGTGTTAGTAAGCGTTTGGGAAAAGCTGTGTTTTTCTAATTCAGCTCTGCTCTGCAGTGGCTCTGTGCCCCCTACTCATTCTTTTGAGACGTAAATTGCAGAACAGTGCAATTACTTTCCTGATTATACTTTATCTTCCCTTACCGAGGTATTAAAGAGGAACCAGGGAGCATATTATAAAACATACAGGCCTATGAAATCTTGATTCCCTTAAAACAATTGCAGGGAAACTCAATCTTACAATTACCTGAGTGTCCAAAATCATTTGTCAGATCTCCCAAGCCCTTCACAGTCTTTTTCCTTGTCTGTGGTGCCTGGAGCTGTGTCAGCCCATTGCCAGTTTCTCATCTCAGAGATGAGTTGATTTAAACAAAATATCTCCAAAGGTTTTGATGTGAGGGACTTGGAGAAGTGCTGGGGTGGGAGTTCTGGGCAGTTCTGTTGGAATCCTTTCGGTTTTGCTGCTGCAATGAAAGATCAATGTATTCTAATGCATCAACTGCCAGGTTGCCTTCTGTAGCAAGGCTTCAACTGGAAATTAGTTCCAGGAGGAAGAAAATGGTGTATTAAAACCAGTGGCCTTGCCTAAAGCCAGCACACCAGCCTCTACATGTTCCTTCTATGCCTGTTGTGCTCAGTGCCCTGTGTGCCTTAAGCTCCAGCTGTCCCCAGCTCCGCCTGCAAAGCTTTGAGAGGAAACTCCCTTAATAGATAGTAGAAGGATCTATCATCTGTATCTCAGTACTTCTGGAAATTGTTTCATTTGTTTGTTTTTAGGTTCTATAGAGAAGATAAGCAGGTTTTCTCAGTATCTCTGGGGTCAGCGAAGCATCGTGTAACGGCTGCCTCTCAAACTGCAGAAACCTTCTGCATTGAATCTCCTGGGTGATAATCTGTTATCCAGTCTGTCCCACAGTGATGGATGAGAGTTGTCTTCCCTGCAAGTTGGGAATACTTTGTGTATTTTGAGGAACACAGAGCAAACTTCATGAACAGCACTCAGAAAAGAAAAACCGTCTTTATAATGTCAGAGATGAAACCAATGGGAAGTTATAATACTTGAATTCACTCAAAGCAGGCAATTATGCAACAAATTCCACAAACGTTGTTCTCTTTTAGTTTCTGCTTTAAGAAGTGGTGGTTGTGTTACATAGAAACCAGCACTCCTGAAGGGAGTTTTTCTCCCTTTTATTTTTCTAGCAGGGAGTACAGTTGCAAAACTTCCCCTCAGCTCAGAGGTATTTCTCCAAATGATGTATTTTCAGCTGTAGTCATTGGTGGTTTGGAAGGCACTGCCATTGAGATTTAGCCTTGAGCTGCTGGTTCCTGTCCTCTCCTTGTCCTGGTGTTTTCCAGCCCCTTAGGAGCTGGAAATGCTTTTCTTCGCATTTTTGTGCTGCTCATCTGCCACAATATTGGAGCTAGAAAAGCCTTTCTTGTTTCAGCTCTGTGTTTGTGCTAATTCCAAAAGCAGTCATGAAAAAGGCTGGTGGAACAAACAATAGCTGATTTACTTGGTTAATTTCAATGGCACAGAGTGGGTAGCACAGGGAGGCTGCCTCTGTGCTCCAGCAATCATGCTGGGAGGTCTGCAGCACCATTACATGCTATTATTACTTTCTGGATAATGTATATATTTTCTCTATAACATAATTTTTTCTCCTTCATTTTTCATAAGAACTGGCACTAGATTAATGGTTAAGCCATAGAAGAAAGGTAACGCCACGCCAGTCTGATTTATTGACCACTTAGTGCTGATGAAGCTGCAAACTAGAGTCAGACAGATGTTACAGTGGCATTTTTCTTTTTCAAAACTAGCAGCTTTTTGTGTTTTTAACCATTTCTTGCACTGACTTCTTCCTGTGCTACAATGCCAGGAGTACTGGGACAAGTCCTTCCATGACCCTAAGGAGAACCTCCTCAGGACAGGATGCCTTGGGGCTCAGCGTGCCAAGCAGACTTGCCCAGTTTGGGGACAGATGGCCACAACTTTGCTTCTGACTTGAGGGAAGCCAAGTAGCTCTGTTGAGGCTGTGTGAATGAAATCACTGACAGCTTTCTGACAGGCACGTTCCCAGCCTGCAGTGTCTGTCTGAGGGCTCCCTGCAAGGCTTCCCTTCCGCCCAGCTGCAGGATTTTTGAGATGCACATCCACCATGCTGGCATGTTTCCTGTATGGCAGTTGCCTTCACTATGGACAGAGCAGGTTTGGTACACCCAGAGCAAGCCAGTTCAATAGGGGCAAGTGAGAGGCTCGACTCAGAGCAAAGTTATGGCAATAAGATGTCTCATCAGTGCACACAAGCAAATATGGGGACTGCGTGTCGTGAAAACCATAATCCATAGCATCATAGGATGGTTTATGTTGGAAGGAACTTTAAAGATCATCCAGTGCCATGGGCACCAGACCCCATCCAGCCTGGCCATGAGCACCTCCAGGGATGGTAACAGGAATGTGTTGAGTTTTCTGATGAGAGTTTTCAAAAATGTGTATTCTCTTAATTTCTATCAGAACACTTTAGTTTACTGCGTAGAACGGCATTTGAGACGGCCTTGCTGTGCCAACCTTGCAGTCAAGTTTTAGATATAGACACTGTGAACAAACCTGTTGGCTCTGTGTTTATTTTATATGCTTTTAATGTCCTGTTATACAAAGTCTAGTGCCAACCCACTGCGGCAGCAGGTTGGGAAGCTCTGCCCCTGAACTGGTGATGAAAACTCACCTGAAATAAGGCTGGCTGCAACGCGTCCTTCTGCTCTTCTTCACAACTTCCCTGAGTGCAAAGAGATGTCTTTCCATGAAATCTCTGAAGCATATTACCTTTTATTACTTCATCATCTAAGTCACTAATTAAGTTAAATTAGCTGATGGAGACTATTTGGGTGTATAGGTAATGGTTTTTATTATCTGGATCTTTTCTGAATTGCACATGAGGACAGTTGTGTGCTGAGGCTTCTTACTGTGCTCCAGTGCTGCTCAGGCTCCCCTTGGCCGGGTGCCTCCACGTTGAGCTCCATCTCTGTGGGTTTCAGAACGGAGTGCTCCCATCAGCTCACCTCTGCAAGCAAATGATGGATCGAGTTCCCAGTGCTGCTCAGAATGGGGCTCTAACATAATTAATGAAACATTAGAGTTTTAATTACACCATTATCCTATTTATTTTTGTAAATAATTCCAAAGCAGTCATTTAAGTTTGTGAACTTAGGAGTAAATGACTTAAGGGAAAGAAATCAGCTTCTCAATCTCATTATTATCTATTGCACAGCATCCCAGGGATGCTGTTGGGGAGCTGGCTGAGTTGTGTCTGTAGATGTGATGATGGTTTATTTACAGGCACTGTGGTCACGCGGTGCTGAGCTCCTGCTGGAATCTCCGCTCTCAGTGGGACGGCGCTGCAGAGCATCAGAGCAGCACTGCGTTTCCTTTCTTTCCCTCAGCTCCTGTAAGAAGTGCATTGGGAAGGAGAGTGGAGCATTAAAGAACTTGTGGGAGGAACCACCCTGCACTGGCCCCAGAATTGCTTTGCAGCAGTGCTGCTAAAGACACCGTCCCCTCCAGTCCCAACCTTCTGCAAATTGCTGTTTTGAAGAATTTGCAGGTTTGCGATGAAAAGACAAAGAAATACAGGCTGGTCTGAGAAGGACCTTGGGGCACTCTGCCATACTGTAGCCCCTTTAGCCAACCTCTTCCCTCCCTCTTTCTGCAGCTGTTCTGAGAAATGTGGCTCTTACTGATGCTTTCAGGTGAACTTCCACGTATCTGAAATAATCTGATGTGGACTGGAACTTTTTCCGTATCTTTTGCAAGAACAGCTGTGATCTCAAGGGAACCTGGTACATCATGCAGTCTAACCATGATGCTCTCTGTCCTCATTTTCATTAGGAAAGCAAGTCCAGAGAGCACCAAGTCAGGTAGAGGTCCAACTACATAACCTGTGTTCTCTGCTCTCCCTGTAGAACCCAGACATCGTGTTGGTGCACTACCTGAATGTTCCTGCCATTGAGGACTGTGGAAAACCCTGCGGCCCTATCTTGTGCTCAATAAATACAGACAAGAAAGAATGGGCAAAATGGACAAAAGAGGAACTCATTGGACAGCTCAAACCCATGTGTGAGTATCTGGGTTATATTTTTCTTCTCTTTGGATGATTAATTTAGAGTACAGTGCCTCTCCCTGCCACTGACCTCTCTGAAGGAGTTATTTGTCACCATCAAATCCGACTCGCATCTACATGCACTTTCTTCCTCATGTATTTTATCCATGTATCAGCTGTCAATTCTTTCTGCATCAAAGTTTTTACTGAGCACCCATTTACGTTCTGTGAGAGCTGCCTAGACTGTCCCAAAAGGGATTATGGTTAAGCTCCCCTCAGCACGCTCCATGCTATGGAAGAAGTATACCTGCAGTCTTATGTTTTTCACGTGCCATTTCTAGGTATCTACTCTCTCTCAAAGGGCCTTTACTACAGTATGACCAAGTAGGGGTCCTTGAAGGGCCCTCTGTGTTTGTGTTTTCTATGTCAGATCAGAATTGGTTGCTGCCATTTATAGGAGGGCTTTGTGGAGCTGAGTATCTTTATCAGCAAGGTGTAGCTGCTGTGAGATGCCTTTCAAGTGCCAACTGTCAAAGGGAAATTCCTGTTGAAGTAAATCTACTTCCTATCCACTACACAACAAAACTGGAGTCAGATGGTTTGGTGATGCAGAACTTCCTTGCAGTCACCCACAGGATGAGTTTTTGTTATACTGTCCAGCTCCCCTGTTCAATGTGGTTTGAAGCTCAAGCTTGTTCTTGAAAGCCCACTTATAGATTTCAGGAATTTCTCCTAATCCAATCTGAAAAAGTAGTGGATAGGATGTATTTCAGGATGGATATCATTCACCATTGTTCTAAACTCTGCAGTGTAAATTAAGGCTGCTAAGGTGTGTAAGGTGTGCAACTCTGTGCACCTCATGCATCCACCTGGAAGCACAGTATTTTCTAAAACATCAATGATATTGTATGGATATATTTTCCCTTGGAAAATATGTCTGAAAATGCATGTGGAGTTGTGCAATGAAAGATAGACTAGGCATAAAGGGAGGTCTCTAATCAAGAGAGCATTAATTGCCGGAGCTGCAGTACCAAATCTAGGTGCTTAATGTGAAGCTACAGTACCAAGTCTGCTTCTGTCCCGCACCCCTTCCCCAGCAGATATTGGTTTCGTGTCCACTGCTGTAAATGCCACTCGCCTCACCAACCAATTTCACTTCCTCATAGATGCCTGAGGTACAGAAGCAAGGTAATTTCCTCGTGCAAACAAAACCCCATTTCTTTTTTTGCTCCCC